CAAACATATTCATGATTGTCCAATGTTATGCTAAATTCCTTAATGAATGTTCCATCGCGCTCTTGAAACTCCGTTCGCGTTATTGTGTGCCTCTTCGCGCTAATGATAATGCTTTTTCGCTTGAATGAATATTCCTTTGCGGTTAATGAACAGCAAAAGGTGTAATATCCAAGGTGTATATATCCAACACAATTAACACAACAATCAACAAACGAATAAACTCGCAAAAGAAAGGAATTTCACCCAGTTTTATGTGATATTTTCCCCGGTTTAAATCGCAGTATAGCAAAATCAACGCAGAAATTCACCCAGTTTTATATCTGATATTTTTCCCGGTTTAAATATTGCAAAAGCAACCAAGAAACTGTATTTAAGATTTTTTTTCTTTTTCTATAAACTAGAATTATTTATGATAAGTACAGATTCATTGTGAGCTTCAAAAAATTGAATAATATTGTGGGAACTCAAATTTTGAAGATAAAGTGAAGAATGTAGATTATAGGCAAACTGAACAGCGTGAAATAAAGCCTTGGATTAGTGAAATATAAAGAAGTAATTCTCATGCACCAACGAAATGCGCAGAAGCGGACGCGCTGTAAGGACTTCGGAACTGACGGCAAATGAAATCCGATCCGCCCTTAAAATGTAAGGATTACATAGGACGATTTTGTAATCATCACTGGAGAGACTAGCCGACCCCCGTACCGTACCTGGTTTAAGGGACATATTTCCAAAATGACGTCTATTTTGTCCCCCAAGACAGTCCCACAATGCACTGCAATTCTAACTCGACCCAGTTTTTCCTCAACCTCAGAATGGCTAATATATATCATCATACACGTATTTTCAGTGATGGCACACATGATAAATCTAATCTCCAAATCCACTTACGTCTGAAATCCCCTAGTATCCTTGCATAGTGATTTATCAGGTTTATTTTGATTGATGTTATGTCATGTAATTCAGTCATAAGAATCGGATTAGAACGGAATGCAAGACCTTTGTTAAACACTAGACTTAGCACTCCTGACGTCCAGGAAATTGAAATTAATTGGATTTGCATTTTTATACATCAAAAATGCGAAGTTTTAAAGTTGCAAATAGTAATGTTCAAAACTTAATTATATCGCAGTTGTTGCATAGCTTGAAAAATTTCATTGAGAAACCGCGTGAAAGATTCTTAAAATCCGTAAATATTTTCCATTTCCAAAGAAGAATTACTAAAGGTATTTCCCAAATTCTCGGTTTCCTAACCTAGATAAAAGAATTTAAGTCCCAGATTTGCCATTCTCAGTGACCTAAATTCCAGTCCCAGTGTTGAACCTTGGAGGACTCCCATGCCAGCTGTTCTATTTATCATTCCTTCCCAGTAACCGAATTTCAATGCAGTCTCAGCACATCAAATCCCTATATGAGTAAATCGCAATAACAGCACTCCAGGAACTTTGGTGCCACAATTGAATCAGTGCTTTAATTCTTGCGGCCGAGTTTTGCGGTCGTGCCGCCGGGGGGAGTAATTTTACTATTTTTGGTGAAACTTTCTTTGCCAGGAAAAGTTTCACAAGGTCCGCATGCCTGTACCATGTTTCTTACATCATCCTCATCAAGAGTCCTATGACAAACGATCAGGAATCCATCTGTAGAGTGAACCCCTCATTAAGCGCAAACCCTTCATTAAACGGACAGCTAGCTGCACTATTTCCGAAATTTTTTTTCTTATATTTACTAAAGCGGGCACCAAGCAAATTTCCCATGCATATTTCTGTAAAACAAACCTCTATTCAGCATCCTCACCACCTCCCCCAAAGGACAAGATATGACAAGAGTATACATACGTACATCCTGAGCAGACAAATAACAAAAGAATGATTTACAAAGACACGAAAAGAGATTAGAATCGGCAAGTTAGCAGGGCATGTGATAAGTCGACAAGCTTTATCTCTCTCCATATTAAGTATCTGGTCCACCCGTTGACAATAACAAAAGTTAGTGGAATTCCAACCAGTTTACCCGTGTGAGAGCCAAGTAAACAAAGAAGAATTTATCACGTTGGTGAAAAACGCGTTCCTTCTTTCGGAGTGACTACTGAACACGATACTTGTGGCTACTCTATCAAGCTGCAGTCTTCCGATCCGTCTTGATCATATTTTACCCTCAACCATCGTCTGCTTGTGCATGGTTCTTGATTTCTAAGGAGTTTTTGAGAGTTCAAAAGAACTAGTTCGAGGATTGAGTCCTTCAGGTGTCGAGAGATCAAACACAGCCACTAAAGTTTCACTTGGCAATAAAGACTAATTTGTTTGTTTGGCCAAGTGACACCTTTTGGATCAAGCGTGATGTAGGAGAACGTCTACGATATCTTCTCATCTCTGAGTTTGAACTAGAATTTTCATCTGGAATCACTGCAGAAAAAGTCTCAGTGTAAGGATTTCTTCGCACGATTAAGCAGAACATATTAGCGTTGTGCTAAATTGTACAGTTAATGGTTGCCATCGAGCTTGATTACAACATCACAGTCACATCAATAAGGCGTTCCTCTTTTAGCATTCACCTCCAATAAATCAATAATATTACTGACAGACGAAAAAACAATTTGCAGACCGTTTGTTGCTTTACATTAGGATGAGGAGACGACGAAGTGTGCAGCACCACCAACACAGCTTGAAAAGCCTTCAAGCAGTGGTACTTGGAAAAGATGGAGTTGGGAAATCAGGTGAGAGTTGTATTGTGTAATGTTTCAAGAGCTCCTTCAAGTCGAGTGTTCTCTATACTTAACATTTTGAAATAAATTTTTTAAAAAGTTTATCGAAAGCAGAAGACCTCCTATTGTTTTTGGATTGACATCCGAGATTTTCATTTCCTCTGGTGACTTTATTCTTCAAAACGATTCGAAAACAATAGAGCCGCGAGATGAAAACAAAAGTTCAGCTATCGATGAAAATTCGGCTACATGAAGTTTAAAATTCTCATTAGTTTGAGAACTAATAGTGCACGGCAGTTAGTGATTTTATATTCACGTTCTTGTAATACCACTTCAATTACATAACTGCATTGTTGATGAAAAGAACGACAATAACAATAATGATTATAACTGTACAATTAAATGTACAACTGTGAATATCATAGTGTTTGGAGTTTTTTCTGGTTAAAGCGGTGACCAACAGATCAAGGGCTTCTTGAACCAACTACGATGTCTATCAGTTAACTTCCAGAAATTCAAAAATTCACTAGACCAGTCTATTTTTGTCGATGTTTTAACTTAATATATAAGTTTTTGTGAAGTGCTAAGTATTTTATTATGAAATCAAATTGTGGTTCCGAAGCTGAGATTTCTAGTTCCGTTGCCTTCTCTCTGCAAATGAGGTGCCAAATTTTGTATAGAAAGAAATTCCCGGCTGTTGATATTTATTTCGGTTGATAAACATGGATGATAGAGTGCACGCACTAAATCCGTGAACATTAATTAGTACTAATTAGTACTATTTCATACAGAATCCTTTGTTTTCTATTGTTTATTTATCACCATTTAGTACTAAAAGGTAGTATTTGTTTCACGGGTTTAGTGTGTGCACTCTAATAAGTAAAAAAACAAAAGCTTCTAGGTTATGTATACTAACTCATTAAAACACACACACAAACACACAYGCATATTTACATATATATGTACAATTGTACATCACTTTATTTTTCTTCCAAGAACTTTCTGTGAAAGAATCTTCAACTTTTATCTAAAACAGTAGAAATACCGAAACATTTGTTGAATGATAAAGAAAAATAAATGAATAAAATTTTCAAGATCTGAGTTTTAGATACGACATTTCACAGCTAAATTAATAATTTATAGCACCAAACAAGGGAATGATCAAGATAATCATTTATATAATGTTTAAATAAAGTTGTCTTTATGTGAAGCAAATTTTCTTAAAATATTCAAAACAAAGAGCTTCTTAGACCTGATCTTCAGTAATCAGGATGTCGAAATTTAGAAAATTTGGACATTTTTGAACAGAAGTTTAGAGATTAGCAATTGTTTGTGAACGGTAATTAATAGTTCTATAAATTCATTTTCCATTAGGCGGCATTCCTTTGAGGAATTAAAAAAATCTGTCTCAGCTGAAAGTCTATGAAACTCAAGATTCAAGAAATTTTAGATCATTTGGTCATGTCTTTTTCCTCTAAGATATGTTATATGATGATTGCTCGGAGCAACATATCTTAAAGGAAAAATATCTTAAAGGAAAAATAGATGACCAAATGATCTAAAACTTGAAGCTTTTTGGTCTAGGGAGCTGTACTTCAGTGCTTGAAAATCGGTGGCCATTTGGATCATAGTTCGTGGTCCTGCTAAAAACGTGCTTCATAAAACAGATCTACTCAAGAGATAAAGTCAACCAAATGCTCCCCAAGTCGTGAAAACAGCTACCTCCAACTTAATAAAAACCAATAAATAATCAACTTTTGATAAATTGATAAAAGCGTCTCAATAAAAACATCTAATGCGGAGTTATTTTATATAAGAGCAGGACAAGTCGCATGATTTAAGTGCAATCTACTCTGATATCAGCTCTAACTTCATCGCTGAAAAGAAAGTTATTACGAGATTCCTCGTGGTAGATGATCAGTCATGATGGCGTAGGAGGTGCAAGCGAGTAAAAAAGGGTTGTAAGTGACACCCTAATCGATACCTCGATTGTCTTTTGTCAAGGGTTAAGCTGCTGGTCGATTAGTGAAGAATGAGCTAAAGAGAACCGCGTGGAATAGTTTAAATGTCGAACAATTTTGAAAACATTTCCGTTTATCTTGTGTTTCCGACAAGTTTACAAATGTGCTTGCTCAAAAAATTATTTCGTGAATTGCTTTTTCTCTTGATGTCATGATGATGATGAAGAAGATGATGGTGATGGTGATGAACAGCGATTACGGTTTAAAATGCACTTGCACAAAAACATTATCTCGATGATCAACGATGATCATGTAAAGGATGACTACAATGCCTTTTCCTTATGATGTTCATCACTAGTTGATTGAAAACCTAATTCCAGTCCAGAAAATAAATTATCTTTACTCCTTACTTTTTGGAATAATACCATGTTACAAGTGTCAAATAGTATTCTTATATATTTGATTTTCCCCTTCGTTTTCTACAGCTTTAACAGTTCGTATGTTGACAAGGCGATTCATCGGAGAATACGACGTTTCACTTGGTGAGTAGCGTAATTATCACAACCACCTCCATCGTTACCATGGTCAGTGGTGATTGCTACAAGGCCCATCACTATGGTAACAATTAGTGCTATAAAGCCATCTGCTATACCATCACCATGGTAAACATTATTTCTATGGTAACCATATTATTCGTGACTATAATAACCATGTGAATGTAAAATCTCTTCCATCTTACTTAAACCGCTACTAAAGAACAGCTTTCAAAAATAGTAGAACCATGATTTTACAGCATAAGAGGAAGCTTAAAAACTAGCTAAATTATGAGCTACAAAGGGTGACGGAATCATACGCGCATCTAGTAATGAGCCGTTGTCTTTTTGTGTGATACTTTTCTCGATAACACTAAAGAACAACAAAGATGTGCCCGCAAGAGGAATCTATTAGATCGAATTGCTGGGTATTATAGCATTTTTTCAAGTAGAAACAACCGATACAAGTAGATATAAAAGGTTTAAAAAAGCCGACAAGTGGGGAAAAATGCGATGACACGATAAGCAAGAACACTGACCCAGAACTGACAAAGCGACACTGTGCTCATTATATCAATGTTGACAATGACTCGAGTTCATATTTCTTCTCAGAACAAGAGAGGAGCTTGATTGTTTGCTGGTTCTCTCCTGTGCTTTAAGGGCTTTTCTCCGGGTTCTCCGGGTTTTTTGTCTCCTTTCGCAAAAAAGTAACTTACAATATAAATTTAAATTGGATTTAGTGAAAGGTCAGGTACTCCGTGTTAACACTGCAATATATACCCAGTTATTTTATGTATTTCTTTTCCAGAATTTTACATCACCAAAAATGACACTCTTTCACTCTGAACACTGCAAATTCTCTGAGCTGAGTCAAGTTTCTAGCTATTAGCGCTGTGCTGCGAGAAGCTATTTAAAAAAATACTGAGATAACACCGTAAGCTAACAAGCTTATTGAAGTGTCTCTGTATCTGTAATGAGTTGCTTACTAAAATAGCATCAACAGTGGGTTCATTAAGAGCTGTGTTTTCAATGGCTTTCGATAAGCTTACAGTGAAAACAAATCCTTTCCTATGAGGTTCCTATCAAACTGCCCTATATCTTCTTTTTTATCAAGCCAAGTTATTTCTGAATCACAATTAGTTGGTCATTTCAAACCCCGTGTCATTTCCAAGAGTAGCTTTTGTTTAACGGCTGCGTTTGGACGTTGAAACCCACCTAATGCACACAAGCAATCGCCATATTTTTCATTGATTTAAACTCTTGACTGCCTGTCTTCCCGCTGAATGCGTTGCCCAAATCCTCTTGTAAGACAAATAAGCGCCCAACCTCTGCTAAGTGCTATAGAGGCTTCGCACCATCACATGATGGCAGCCATGACAGGAGGCACAACAATAGTCTTTTCCCCCTGGGAAACTCCATCCTTTCTTATGTAAGGTACGGACCATTAGGTTTTTGAAAGTGTGGGGGGG